TCACCTGCTGCATCGGTGGTCTCCATGCTTGGGTCTATTTCACTTCTTCTGGAACCGAGTCTTAGTGACACAGTATATATCTTCTCAATTGCTGACTGTTAATGTCTCTTGCATGATCAGAAAATATAAAATCCCCAATTATCAGAATGGCCATGCCTATTTGACCTCGCATCGTGTCTGTTATGTAGCAGTTGATGAGCCGCGGAAATACTCAGTTGGCATTGACCTCAAGGATATTGATAGAACAGAGTACCAAGTACGTGCTGGTTCAATCATGCAAACTGGCCTAAAATCCTAATGTATTATAGGCAAGCTTCTGGAAGTCCTCTCCAAAGATTACGTTATACCCTAAACCACTGAAGAACATTGACCGGTCGAAAAGCGCTGGCGCAAGTCCCTCTCGATCGCAGTCGCCCCTGACCCCAAAGTCCGTGTCTCATCCTAGTGCGGGACTTCCTCCACCCGTGAATGCGACATGGGTATGCCCTATATGCACCTTTTCCAATCCCGTGCCCTCCAATTTCGACCCGTCCACCGCTACCGCGTCCACGCCGATACCTCCTTGCCTGGCATGTGGTATCAAACCCCCTTTTGCGACTATCCTTAAGGCTGCAATCACTGCTGTAACAAGTCGCGAGAGTACTGTTGCGACGCCACCCATCTCTCAACCTGGGCAAGAGTCCTCATTTGGGAACAATGGCCCCAAGAACCTAACGGTTCCACAAGATGGCGCCCAAGTGTCATGTCCTCGCTGCACATTCGTCAACCATCCATCTCTCATTGAATGTGAAATGTGTGGAGCTTCCTTGGTCTCTGCAAATATCCTCAAGGTCACCAATGGCGATCACTACCGTGCGGAATCCCCGGCCCCTGTTTTTGATCAGGGCAGTATAAAGAGCAAACAAATCAAAGATTGCATGAAATTGTCATTCCGTGGAGGTGGCGAAAAAATATTTCTTGAAAGGTTGAAGGGCGCCTTGATCCAGCGGAAATGGCTTCTTTACAATGCTCCGCCTGTGCCACAACAACCATCGCAGTCAAGCCTCGAAGCTCAAGGTTTAGCCGTGCCTGCATTAGCGAACGGCCCTGGAGCATCACAGCCTCGCTCACCGGGAGTTGGCATTGCGGGGCTTGAGCGACGAGGCCTTGAGGCTCGTAAGAACAATGAGCTCGTCATTGGCAATGCTTTCGAGGATCTCGAAGCGCTTATGGCATCAGCGAAACATATTGTTGCGCTTGCTGAGACGCTAGCCCGCGAGTCTGGGATGGCTAGTGACGAGAGCTCTGCTGAAACTAGCGCCGTCCTTTCGGAATCAGCGGCGGCGTTGGGTATGGTGACAACGAAAGATATGCTCGGGTCCGGGGCAGAGAGCCTATATCTGTCAGAACTGTCACGAAATCTAGCAGAATATCTAACCGACGATCGTAAGGGCATCTTACAGAAAGAAGGCGGGATTATTAGTCTTATCGACTTGTGGGCAATCTTCAACCGGTCCCGAAACGGGGTCGAGCTCGTCAGTCCTTCCGACTTTCAGAAGGCTGCGGAGCTATGGGAGAAACTGAAGTTGCCAGTCCGTCTGCGTCGTTTCAAGAGTGGACTGCTTGTTGTGCAACGATACGACTGGACTGATGAGAAGACCCTTCGGCAGCTGCTAGACTGGATGGCAGAGCTCCGTCAAGTGCCACCCACGGAGCCGGTAGCCTGGGACTGGCGTCTGTTTGGACGTGCCGTGACCGCACAGGAGGCGGCACAGCGATTCAAATGGAGTGTGGGCGTTGCAGCGGAGGAGTTAGAGATGGCAGAGGATAAGGGGGTCCTTTGCAGAGAACAGGGAATTGAGGGGCTACGGTTCTGGTTTAATTATATTTCATCTGACCCAGGCCTGCAGGAAGTGGATGATCTAGGACTTGCAAAAGTTAGCATAGACAACCATGACATATAGAGATCACGGGAATTTTGACTAAGAATCCCACATATGATGATTCTGAGCGAGCAACTTCTACTTTGAGTTTCTGCCTGAGGCATAGTTGTAGACCGACAACCCCGCGTTTGCCCCGTGATTGGCTTATCGGAGCTCTCTCCGCCTTATCAGCTGCCAACTCTCTCCCTCCCTTGCACTTCCAGGTCACTCCATGCTTCGTTCATCTTTATTCTAGCTCTCTTTCCGATAAACTGATTAGCTATCACTCAGATAAAAGTTTCTGATTTGTGGTTACTGTCCTTGTAGCGGCCCTCCTGACCCCTAATCGTCCCCTGTGATGTAACCGAAGACAGCTCAGTGGCCGTCCGAATCCGGTCTGACGTCCTGGTCGAAGAGTTTCATCACTCCTTGCTTAGCATCCTTCTATTCTAGCTTATATACTTCAAACACAGAGTCCTCGCGAGCCTTAGCTATGATATATACAACCGCAATTGCAAATATCAGGGCCGTCAGACGTCCTACGGCCCTGGCCAGAGCTTATCCCCAAGCCATACTCTTCTCATCATCTCAACATCTAAAGTCCTCCTGCCAGCGCCGTCACATATGGCGCGGTCCGGGCGAGAGGATAAACTACGAGTATTTGGAGAAGCAGATAGATAAGCACAGACGATACTGTCTTTCGAAGCTTCGTGAGAAGCCCGCACGTCCGCGGAAAGCGAACGTGTACGAAAGTCAGAATCCATGGGGGTTCCGAGGTTACGGACCGGGCTATGATCGAGACAAGTCTTTCCAATTTTACAAGCGAAATGGTATTAATGGTGACTTTTGGGAGGCCGAAAGGTCCCGCATCAAGGAGAGAATGAACCAGATCAAGAGGGAGATTGATAAGGATCCCTACGCAGCATTATTCGGAAGAAGGTTGCAGCCATTTAGCTCCTTCGAGAAGCTTGATAATGCCTTTACCTCCATTTGTCGTTCTTTCCTAGGTCTTGACAAGTCGGAAAGCACCATGGATACAACAGCACGCCGAAAGGCTACTACTGCAGTCTCGAAAGACTCTTCAGAATCGCCCAAGAAGCCACAATCAGACGTGAGTGGCAGGGTCCCATTTTCAGACGAGACTGTATCAGAGACTAGTCGACCAGACTTTGAATTCGACCCTGTCAGTGGCCGTATGATACCCAAGGATACTGAGCAGCTGGTGGCCACAGCAAAGAATTCTCGCGGAAACGACATTGATACATCGGCCGGGGCCCAGAAGCCTCATTCTGGGCCTACCGGCTATCTATCCCCATTTGAACGAACAATTTTAGAGCCTAGGCTGGCAACAGAATCAGGAAACGATAGGGCAGAAGAAACACCGCGACAACGTGTTGAGGTGGCGCCAGTCGCGGATGAGCCCTTCCAAACTCCTGAGGTGCAGAAACCGGAGTCACCAACAGAAGCTCGCTACAAAGCTTTGGAGCCATCAAATGATACTATGAAAGACCAGAGAGATGTGTCTGAGAAACTTAGCAGTCTCTCAGAAGCGATCATGGCCGATCAACCTAAGCTTCAGGATCTCACAATGGGCGGCGGACGCGTCACCTATGATCACCTAGAAGCGCCAGTCAATAGTCGTTCGCTTGGAGATCAACCAAGCAATGAGGCTTCGATGAGATCTCTAGAGGCGCCTGAAAGTCCTCTAAGTACAGCACACGAACAGGACAGGGTGCAAGCAGAGAGGAAGGAGGATTTAGACATCCTGAATGCCAGTGATATTCGTTCACAATACTTGGCTAAGCCTAGTATTGACCCTGAGATTGAGAAGCAGATCCGTCAATCTCTCGACGATAGGTTCGATTCATTTGTCGATCCCGCTGGTGACATTGACGCCCAGAGCGTTCGAGGCAAATTTCAAAAGCATGAGACTGTCGGCGCATCTGACGAGGCCATCATGCCAGAGAAACCAGACGTTGGTGTACAGCTCAATCAACAAACTGCAGAAAGTCGGGAAGCTTCACAGGTACTCCAGTCTGGAAAGCAGGAAGCTACCAAGAACTTAGATCAAATTACTACCATTGAGCAGCCGCTCGCTGACAGCCCGTCAAGTGAAACCTATAGAGTCCTTGCATATGATCCCTCGACCCTTCAAGTAAACGAGGCGGAGACGAGCTCGTCTTTCCAGGCTTCGGACGAGACAGTTCACCCGGCAGAAATTCTAGGTCGCCTGAATGCCCCTGCCAAGTTCCTACCCCATTTTGCGAGAATGCGTACCGATGGGTACGAGATTGTTTCCGGTGGCGGGGATATACTTGTATTCAAAAAGTCCAGCAGCTCCATGCATGACAATTACGCTCTCCCTTCCAAAGCAGCGGACAAATTTGAAGCTAGCTCCGACGGCCGAAACAATGAAACTTTGAAACAGTCTACATCAACTATCCAGCTACGGCAGGAGCATTTCTCCAGCCAAGCTCCTGATCGTCAGTCCGAATCGCTATACGAGACTTCACGAGCCAAGGGCTCTTCTTCGAAACGCCAATCAAGAGCTGGCCAGGCTCTACGCAGGATGCTGTTCAGTGGCGTAGCTACCGCAGGAACATGCTACGCCATAGGTGTTGTTGTCGAATACTTTCGCACGGGAGGGCAGGACGGACGGGGTATTGATGCTTTCACGGCTTTTGAGTCTGAGCGGCGTCATGGAGACTAAATTTGGATGTCTCCGCACAATTCTGTATGACTATTTGAGCTGATTTCTGCCATGACCAACGAGTATGTACTATGTAATGCGTCTCCTCTCTGTAGTTAGAGTCACATTTTCCATTTGCAGACTAGGCTACGCTATCTGCCCCATTAATGCCATCTTCTCGCTATGCTATTGGTACATAAATTTGGTATGAGCAAAAGACGAGAAAGAAAAACGAAGGCAAAGAGCTAGCAAAGGCCCAACGAGGAGCAAGCCAAGCCCAAGCAAAGTGCAAGCTATAAAGAAAGAGAGTATCGAAAGGAACTTTTAAGACGAGAGAAACACGTCCCGTCCCCAACGCCTACTATCGCACTGGCAGCGCAAAAACCACCACCACCCATTCCCTCACCCCCTCAGCGCCTAGCCGCAGACGACGACTCCACAGGCTGCGACTCCTCCTCCAGCGGAAACTTCTCAAACATATTCTGCATGACACCACACTTAGCGCGGCCGCCCATCAAATAACGATTCAAGCCAGCCAACAACTTCAACGCGGCATGCCATTCACTCTTCTTCCAGAGATCATATTCCTTGCTAGCGAGCACGCGGAACACGGGAGCGGCATCTTCGTCCGGAGCCTCGGTTCTCTCCTCTTTGAGAGTGTGTAGCCAATCAAGTTGATCTATATCGTGCTCGAGATCTTGCTCGGTGTAGCGACGATTGGCATCTCCGGCGCGGAAAGTGTGCAGTTCGGTGTTGGAAGTGTCGACGGGCTTGTACTTCTTGCAGTAGATTCGTGAGATCTTGGAACTGGGGAAAATGGCGCGTTGCACGTGAAGTCTGCTGCCGTGGAGGTTGATTAGGAAGACTTCTTGGTCGGGGAGGTGGTGGCGGTGGATGTGCATGTGGTGCAGGTTGGTTAGGAGTTGGCCGAGGTGAAGTTGGAAGTTTTGGGAGAGGGTTTTATGGAGAGGTTGGTTGTCGGTTAGAGTCTGTGGTTGGGGGGGTGCGTTAGTGGGCTGGGTTTGGTCTTTGGGGGGAGGTTGGATAGGAGAGTAGACTATACAGACAGTTGTCATTGGCAGGACGGTGCGTGCGTACATAGCATCGGGGTAATAATCAACGACGACGCGGCCGGAGGTACAGGGTCCATCTTGACGTTTCTCTTTGTAGCCGGTCCAATATTCGAGATATTCTCCCATGACTTTTGGGCTGGTTGGATGGGAAGTTGATGAGGTTAGTGTATCGTTGCGCTGTGCAGGGTCTGTTAGGGTTGATGCTTCTTACGTACTAGAGGTGGAACCAAAGCATAGGCTTTGAAGTCGGGTGCATGACATCCACGTTAAAGAACAACTCGGATATGAGAGCATGAAGTACGTTGTCTTGGTTGTAACGTGCTTGTCTGAATTCTAGGTTTGGTGGACAGGTAGCGGCACTGCCTGCCTCGTCCTCGAAGAGACCTTTATCCCACTGAGGAGAGTTCTTGAGGTTACGGAAGACGTCGAAGAAAATGGTCTCGAGGGTAGGCCATTTATTCTGATTGACTCGACGTCCATTTCTGGCGTTGCGGAAGATCCAGACAGCGCGATGGACGATCTCTAGTTTTGAGTTAGCTTTGCTCCTTCGGAGTTAGTTCACCCATGCGCGATTATATGGATGATGTTGGATGCCCTTGGATGGGTATATATACTCACTATCTTTGTCTGCTCTCTTGAGGTACCGCAGCGGCACGATATCTTCGTCAGGACGGCTTAGATAAACCCTGGCTTTCATGCCGTGGACTTGTATATCAACGGACTTTGTCTCAGAGATCTCGGGGATCGTTTCCATGGTCCTGAAGGCTGGCCATCTGATGTATTCAGTGTTGTCAAGTTCCGCGGCAGCTCTTTCTTCTGCAGCTGCTTCTGCTCGCTCCTCTTCAATCATCTTTTTCGCAGCTTTCAGCTTCGCGAGGTCCCTCCTGGCTTTGGAGAGCCTGAGGCGCGCTGCTGCTTCGGCCACCTTCTTCCGCATACCCCCGGGATCCATGATCTCGGTTGTTCACGAACGCAGAGAAGGAATATGAAGATGATGAGAAGAAGGATACGGACGTGTCTGCATCTTGTAGCACAGAGTGCAATCAAAAGATGAGTTGTGGACGTGTTCAGTCATCGTGGCAAAGGCCATCTTGTGTTGTGAGAGTGAATCTGCGTGCACTGTTTGTGATATCTGCTAATGCGGAGACATCTGGCGGAGACTGATCCGTTTATGATGTTTGAAGATGAGGAAGTTTGTGGTTGCGTTGCACGAAAACTGTGAATGTGATGTTGGAATGCAGCTGGAGGAGATGGGGTGAGTGTCATTTTGCTAATTTTTGCAGAAGTGAACTATATTGGTGAGGTTGTATCGAGCCAAATGGGGTTTGCGTGATGTGCTTCAGAGCACGAAATCTAGGGTTGTGGTGGATAGTGCCGGTGTTGTTCTAAGAGAACAACATTGGTGGTTGTGAAGAGATATATAGTTGTAGCACGGTAATCAGCAGTCTCCAACCGATTGACACTGCCAGATCTATTTAAAAACTCTTCCCAACTAATAAATTAGTATGTATCAAGGTTACAATTCATAGTAACAGTAATCAAGAGTCTATGTCTAACTATCTGGAATTGTCATAGGGTACCATCTCCGTGGTGTGCATGGTCTCCTCATTATCGCCAGCATTCTTAGTCACATCTCGGTGGGTCACCACTCATGATAAGCGCGACTCCTCCAACTTCCCCGCTTATCATCAACCTTCGCCCTTCCCCAGGTATATAATTCGAAGCATTACTGCCTTTCGAGGAATTAATATAGATCATACCAACTGCCAGAAAGTGAAAACTACATCATCTACCGAATTCACAATGTCCAAAGCAACCAGAATCCCCATCCGTACCCAAAAGGCCCCTCTCCCACCGCCATTCCTCTCCCAGGGCATCGTCGTCGGCGACATGGTCTACTGCTCTGGGCAGGTGGGCGTGAACCCTGCTACAGGCAAGATGGTTGAGGGATCAATCCAAGAAAGAACGGTACACAAATTCTATCATCAAATAGAGAAAACTCTCTTTCTCGCCGACCATAAGGTATCATAAGGCCACTCAGCTAACGTAGTCTAGAAACAAATCCTCAACAACCTGAGTGCTGTCCTTGAAGCAGGCGGCTCTAGTCTCCACGACGCCGTGAAAGTCAACATATTCCTGGCTGATATGAATGACTTTGCCGCTGTCAATGAAGTCTATAGTTCCTTTTTCGCGGATCCGAAGCCGGTGCGTTCCACCTGATTGCCCCTGGGCAGAGTGACATACTTACTGATGAACCTAGGCTCGTACATGTGTTGCGGTCAAGACATTGCCATTGGGGACTGATGTGGAGATTGAGTGTGCTGGGGTGGTGAGCAGTGTGCCAAGTCGAGGGTCTCGTCTGTGAGAAGCAAGCAAAGAACCAGGTTCCTGGAAATGACTGTGATGTTATGCGAGTACATAACTGGACAAATGCAGACAAACATTGCTTATGTGCATATACTTTGCATCTTGGCTGTAGACAACGGATAGACCGGCGAGCCTGGTAGGAATAGCCTATGCGTCGACAAGCCCGATTTCTAATGTTAGGTATCGGAATGCCAACGGTGACTTTATGCATGGATTCGAGCGGCAGCTGGGCTTAGTTATGTCTAATGCGACACCGGCTGTCGGATGCAGCTCAGATGGCTGATGCGAAGAAGATCATTCGCGCTATTCACTCCGTTCTCCATGCTCTATGCTGGATCCTCTATCGTAGCTAAGCGAACCATTGTGTCTCAGATCGGCTGGGTCGGTAAAAGCACAGATTCAGCTCCAACGGGTCATGGGTCAAATAAGAAGAACTGATCCGCTATTATTAGCATAGTTCTCCATCCCAGAGTGGCCTTTCGTATAAGCTGGTGGGAAGCTGAATTGTCAGGATTTGCAGTTGGAACAGTTCAGGGATAGTCCACTGCAACTACTGAACTGTTCGACCTTTCCTCAGGCTCTGATCCGAACATTGTGACTGTCTCCAGGATTGGATCTGCTGGAGTTGGAGGGAATCGCTGGCCTCAAAATGGGCGAGGCTAGTCCGCATGGGGGCAATGCACGCGCCAAGAGCCGACCACCAACCAATGGAACCAAGGGCCACGGTGGGGCAGCAGTCAGGAACAGGCTTAGTGCCTGTTTGAAGTAATTTCCCAGTCCTTGGATCGTTGGCAACTTTTGTCCATGGTTCATTAGATTCAGGGTCATATCCCCCGTCCCAGGAACTGGTCGCATTTAGCATATGATATAATGGTATCAGGATGGAGATATGTGTGATGGGCCTTGTGGTAGAGGTCCTCAAGATACAATGGCCTAGTGAAAATGGTCAGTGTGTGGTCTTACGTCCGTCCAAGGCTTAGACTCGAAGACGCTCTTTGAATGGACTCAGCCTACAAGATTAAAATAGCAACGCGAACAATGGTGCCACTGCTGGACGGAGCTCCGTGGGTGCTACGACTCATCTAGCTTTCTTAGTAGTATCACCAAATGTCCACCGTCTCTACTCAACTCAGGCGAACGACGATCCAACTCCTAAGTATTACAGAGGAACCCATCTGGATTTGGGTCTTATCGAAGCTTTGACTTTCCCGATCTGCATATGCTGCTGAAGCAGTTCTGACCGTCAGCCTTCTAGAGTCGCACATCGCCCTAGGCCATGCTCTTCGCGAGATCCAACACTCGAAGAAGCAATGACCATGGGGCGCTTCTGCAAATCCTTTCTGACTGTGCTGGCCTTGGGTACCAAGAGTCTCAGCCAATACGCGATCTGTGGAATTTTGTACGACTCTGTTCGTGGCAATTCTGAGACCGAAGGGATGGAAAGAGCCATTGTTTCAGCCCTGACGGCGGCCCCCCAGCAGGGGCTGTGAGCGAGTCTCCTGCATTTCTGACATTCCAATCATGTCAGGGAGAAAAAGATCGATGATTGCCGCGCTGTCAAAAAGCACCAGCACCGACTGGCGGGTTAGATGAAGATAGTACGTACAACTCTTATTTTCCCTGCTTGTGACGGTTGGCGCCGCCGGGCATGCACGTGGTGTAAGACATGAACATGCCTTCCATCGTCTTCCTCGCCCAGCGATAACCGGGCTGGGTCTTGCTGGAGTCTGAGTGTCGAGCAGGCCCCCCCTCCCATCCTTCGTTAGTAGGCTAAGAAATTAGCCCAGGACTAACGGAATGGAGCACGTTCTCGAAAGGACCTGAGGTCAATAGTGTCCGCCACTAGCTTATGAATGGAAGAGGATTGGTCTTGAAGGCAGCAACTAGAATTTCCCAAGATGCAGTGCTACCAGCATATTAGCACACCACATGCCCATGTCATGGAGCTTGACAGGTATCTCATATATATTGAATATAGTAAGGCCTGTTGCATACCGGTAGATGGATGGGACGGGTGCGCATACGTAGTGGCTCCGTACGAGGCACGGATGGTATTGGATGCTTTGGGGTTAAGAAGGGATGGTGAGACAGCCGGGGGTGGATGGCCATCATTGTGACTGACTCAACCCGGCGGGCGGGAGGGGAAGGGGCATCAATAATCTTACTTTTTTTTTTATTTTATTTTCTTGGATTTTATTTTTTATTTCTTTGGCTGGTGGTTGTAATGTTAGGCAGAGAGGAAAGAAACACTGCTTTCCTTCTCAAGGAGGAGGAGGAAATGCACCCGACCGCATTATCTTGGCTGGCAGGTGCATAACCCCATGCTTATCACATTCCTCCGATCCAGGTTATGAAGGAAAAAAATCCCTTTTGCCCGCCTGTTCGAACCGAACCAAGCCATGCGATTTTCTCTCTCTTCCTCTCTTGATGATCCTTGCCTGGAGTTGTTTTTGCTCAGTTGCCAGCCCGTCGAGCAGGCTGCAGCACTTGTGTTGCCCGTATCACCACGCACCGGGGCTATCCCCACATCCATCCAGGAACCACCCACACTAAAACGACGCCGTCAGTCTAGGCCTTGTGGTGGTCCGAACCTTGACGAAATTATGCCCTTTGCAGAAGAGGCTGGCGTCCGAGGCGGGAATTACGATGCGCGCCGTACCACTGCTGATCGGCAATTGTCCCTGGCCATTCTCACCGGCCACTTTACGCTGTGCTACCTGTCCAGTGAGTGAGTAAAGTATGTATCCTTGAATCCTCCGTGACATGCCTGAAATTTGAGGATCCCCATTTCAAGTTTAAGCATCAATCTTCCCCATTCCTTAGACCGCGATCATTATCTCCCCATACGAGCCGACTTTGATGGGTTAATTTCCTTACCATTCCCCTGCGACATCCCGGAATGATTGGACACTTTGTCAACATCGCCACCAATCGTTCTCTGGCTCTGTGAGGTAGTGCAACTGCCGGGCTGTGTCGTCTTTCTGATTCTATGCACCTTCTGCATGCTGCGGCATCAACCCAGCCTCGAGCAAACTGTCAGGGCATATGACAGTCCGCAGCCTACAGTATACCCTGCCTTGTTCTGCTTTACACTGCACGCAAAGTGCGCGGAGGAGTTCCCGGATCTGTGAAGAGGAGATACCTGATTGACACCTTGTGCTCCATATCTGTTCGGTTGACGAGACCCTAGTATGTCGATCGAAATACACCATGCTACCCCTCTTTCAACGTCTAGACTCTCAAAGAAGAGTTCTGTCCACTGCATATCATGCGATCTATGGCCTGAACCACTCGGGGTGAGGGTGTTCTCAATAGTTCCAGCGGTAGCGAGCTCGGAGTTGGTCTTGATGTGCGCCGTTGTAGATAGATACTACACTATAGACGGAGTGCGGCCATGGTCAGTACCCAAATAAGCTCTCTTCTCCGTATACTATTGATCGTTTGGCATCTAGTGTACCTTTTGATGGAGGGTTCGACCAGGACGGCATGCGTACATGCCTTCTCCATTGGGACGTTCCTCCGGCCAGACACGCACATACTGTCCGTTCACACTATCCATTCATTCATTCGGCCATTAGTAAATACACTCATACATATTAGCCGGGATGTAATGACTTGTAGTGCATGAGGTGTAGGCAGAGAGTCCAGAACCTGTGACACGCAACGACAGTAACGACAGCAACTCCAATATCAAATAGCAAAGACCTAGAACATGCTCAACCCCAGGTTGTTGCGGGCATTTGTCGTCAGTAAGTGAGCAAATGTGCAATTGGGCTAATGAGGATGCGAGGTGAAGATACGGCAACCAAGGTACATTACCGTACGGCAAGAGGTGGGACGAAGTGGAAGGGGGCCCACCTCTACCCGGTGCGTGTGGTTAATCACCCTGTCATGGGGTGGTTGGCATTGTAGCCACGGCCTTTCCCTTTGCTTTTCCCGCGTGCTTCCTGCCTTTTCCCCCTCTGCTTTGGTGTGCCTCGTTTTCCCCCTGCCGTGCCTTTTTCCCTTCCTTCCCTCCCCCCCCTTTTTTCCAGTGGTACCAAACCACAACTCCCACAGCCCAACCCGGAAATCCAAGTGGTGGTGGTAAGAGCTAAGTAAAGTAAAGTAAAGTCAAAAAGTAAAAGCCGGGCCCCAAAATAATCAAATCTACCAAAAAAAGGCGATGACACGGACCGGCAAACCAACTAAGCCAAACTAATCCAAACCGCCAGCCAGAAGTAATCTCCCCTTCCCTCTCACTCTCCTTTCATTCATTTTAGTGCTGTTGTTATTATTACTGTTCCTAAATACTACCACCATTTTTTGAATTTTATTTTTCCCGTCCTTCCTTTGGTATTATTATTATTATTCTTCTGCTTCTTCACTGCATCGCCTATCTTTCTTTTCATTCTTTACTACCATCCTTTCCCTCCTCCTCCTCTTCTCTCTTCCTCTCTCTTTCCCCCCCTCTTCGCCCCGTTTTTGCTTCGCCAGCGCCGGTGCTTCGTTGACGTAGCCCACCTGCGAACACCTTCTCTACGTCAACGAGCCGTTGGGACTTGCCAATTCATCCTCAGCCTTTCTCTCCTTGCATCCCATCCCCCTCCCACGGTCGCGCGCCCTCTTCAGGTACTACCACCACCTCCAACCGCCGTTCACCATAACAACCCACCCCCCTCCTCCACCACCATTACCACCTCCACCTTCCCCCCTCTCCACGGCCGTTTTTCTCACTTAACATCCCTTTCTTAGATCTTGTCGCTCGCTCCTTACCGCCTCTACACTCGTTATTGTTTTGTTTGCTGGTAGTTTTCGTGAGGGGTTACTGTTGGTTTCTCATCGACCACACCCCCTGCCGCTCTTTGAACCCGCTTTGTTTATACCGAACTCCCGCCGTTGGTGCGCGCACATCCATCCGTCAGCTGTCAGTGCACTACTAGAGCTTGTCGCTATCGATATTCTTGATTCGGAGATTTTTTTTTTTGGTGATAGAGTTTTGTGATATTTGCAAACTTTCTGGTTGTCATTCGACTCAATATACCAGGAAGCTTACCGACCGTTGTCATCGCATCCCCAGCCGTCGACCGATTCGGGATATCGCCATCGCTCGCGCCATCCTTCGATTGAGATAGGTTCGCTTCAAGTGGTTCAAATCGTGGAGAGGTGGATATACGAAAACGCCGGGAATAGGACATCTATATAGCCCGCGGTTTAGACTATTCGAATTTCCAACCACCGACCCCATGCATCAGCAATCTCAACGACTGGCTTTGATCCTTGACGTTTGAATACTCCGTGCCTTGGGATATTTGGTTCTGGAGGTTCCCATCTGAGCCTTCGCTCTGTCCATTCATTTCAGCATTGTTACGGTCTTTTCGACCACCTGACCACTCTTTATCGCCTGCTATTGTTACCCAACCATTCGAATCAATATGATTGCGCCCACAACTTCGTTGTTGGCCGCGTTCCTGTCCTTGGGCGGCCTCGAGCTCGTCGCAGCCCGGGAGGCAGGACAGATCCGGGACTTGGGAGCGCGTGAGGTTAGCTCCGCCGTTACTGGTTCCTCCCAGCCCGTTACGCCTGTCGAGTTGACAACCAGGTCCGAAACGAGTACGCATGATTCAGCGCCCGCTTCGGACAATGAAAAAACAAGCCCGATCGTTGACCCTTCACCTGTTGTTATCGTTGTTCCTGTAACCATTTCCGTGGACGCCAATGGTGTTACGCATACTATTGTGGGTACGGCACCCAACGTTCCCGGTGCTTCAACGACAACTAGCTCTACCCTTGAGCGTGCAGAGAGTACCCCGGCGGCAGCTGCTGCTACTTCGACGGCGAGCGCGACTACATCCGACAAGGATTCAACTACCAGTGACTCGGCAAAGCAGAAGTCTACATCCGAATCCGAGAAGCACACTTCCGCGTCTGAAGCGTCAGCGAAACCAGAGGCAGCTTCTTCGTCAGCAGCAGCAACGACGGCAGAGACAGCTTCTTCGTCGGCCGCAGCGGCGGCAGCAGCAGCTACTACATCTAGCCAGAGTTCGTTGGCTGACTCCTGGGAGAGCTTCATTTCAAGTATCTTGGGTTCCTCTACCAGCACCAGCGCAACCTCCACGGCCAGCCCTACCGCATCGCCAGCCGAGTCCAGCTCTGCAACCCCCGCTCCCGCTTCAAGCTCTGCCGGCGTCATTGTAGATGTCACCTCAAGCAAGAGTTCTACAAGCGATAGCTCGACGACTTCGGAGAGTTCTACGGCTAAGGAATCCACCACTCAAATCTCTTCCAGCCCAGCATCCTCGACCCCTGCTTCCACTACGGAGTCTTCGGCCGAGGCTTCGCAGTCGGAATCTGCAACTCCTAGCTCGAAGGCAGAGACTTCGAGTCAACTTCTCACTAGCCAGAGCGCATCTGCCCAGAGTTCTTCCGCTCAGGTCCCTCTGGCTGAGTCTACTTCGAAGTCCGAGTCTTCAACCCAGAGCTCCTCGAGTCAGGTTACATATGTTCAGGCCACCTCGTCAGGCGCAGCCTCTCAGACTACTGGGTCAGCATCCTCGAGCCTCATCCCGTCTGCATCTGAAGACGTGACCTCTTCCTCTTCCACCCCCTCATCATCAGGAGGTGTCCTCGGCTTCCTCTCGGACCTCTTCCCTACTACCACCACTTCCAGCGGATCTGCCTCTGCTACTAGCAAGAGTGCAAGCGAGTCTGCCGACTCCAGTGCTTTCCCTCTGAGCCTCCCTACCATCCCCGTTAGTGTTCCTGTGGTTACGCCTGCCTCATCTTCTGGATCGGTCAATATTGTTTCTGCCCTACTTGGCACATCCTCAGGCGCTTCCTTGGAACCTTCGGCCATTAGTCTGGGTATATCGGCCACTTCGACGGCTCTTATTCCCGGAGCTTCCAGCGGAACCCAGAGCTCCTCAGCGGGAGCCTCGACTCCTATCAGCAGTGGTGTTGGCATTGTCATCATGCCCACTTCGACTGAATCTGATTCTGCTTCCGTCTCAGGATCTGCCTCGACGGGTCTTTTTGGAACCACTTCTGAATCAGCATCTTCATTGGCTTCTGGATCCGCCTCTGGATCTGCAGGCGTCATTCCTACATCGGTGTCTGGATCCGTTTCGGGATCTGCAGGTGTTATTCCTACATCGGCTCCTGGCTCTGCATCTGGATCTGTGTCGGGATCTGCTTCTGGATCCGTTTCAGGCTCTGCCATTGGCACCAGCTCTGCATCCAAGTTTACCTCCATTTCTGGCCCTGCCTCTTCGATACCCTTGATCACTTCCACCCAGGAATCCTCGGGTCTGGTATCTGCGACGCCTTCCTATGCCCCGTCCACTACCAGCAAGGAAACGCCCACGCCTATCGCACAACCCACCACGACGACCACCTCGGCCGCTGAGACGACTGTAGCCCCCAAACCGACCACGACCACCTCCGATTCTGACAACTACCTGCCGTCAAGCATTCTCGTGGTTGAGCCCACGACTACTACGTCACTGAGCACGGGCACAGCTACCCATTCGAGTACCAGCACTGCTGCTGCTCAGCTTCCTGGATCGATCTCTCCTTCTGGTGGTCTTCCCGATCAGCCGGCCAACGATACCTTGGTCCAAATCGGATTCAATGGCAAACTGCGCTGGAGCTTTGTGGCCACAACGCCCTTGTCTTCCTCCCAGATCTTCTTGTATGTTCCCGAGGGTATGGGCTACGCGTTGCAGCTCAATGACTCTGACGTGGTCATGTACGACCTCCAACCCTACGACAACTCGGCAAGCACTGGCTACATTGCTACCGTTGCGCTGATGTACATCCCTTCGGATGACGTTGACACCCTGAGGAAGATGCTCCACAACCCCATTTCGAGGCTCTACGAGCAGCCCAACGAGACGGTCAAGACATTGATGTCCATGATCGACCCTTCCATCCCTCTTCTGGTGGGCGACTCGGGTTCTTCCAGTGGCAGCTCGTCCAACAGCGGTGGATCGGGTAGCAGCAGCAGCAACGGCGATGGCAGTGACGGTGACTACGACCAAAGCGATGCTGGTACCAGCTCATCTGGAACCACCAAGGCTAGTGCCGTTGGTATCGGATGTGGTGCTGTGGCCGGTGCTGCAGCATATGGTGCTGGTATGTTCTGGGTTGCGCGTCGGTACCGGAAGAAGCGCCAGTTGCACCAGCGCTCCCCCTCGAGCGTCGACCAGATGAGCGAAGGCCGCGGCGCTGGGTCCGTCTTCGGCGCAGGTGGCCGTCTCTCCCGCAACAGCCAGAACAGCCGGGGCACTGGCCGCACCCAGATGATCAGCGCGCCGGTGATGGCCGAGAACTCGCTCGGCTGGAACTAAGCCCATCAGTATCTCTCTTTTTAAACCATGGATCGTGTACTTTGTTCAATACTAGACAGGGCCAAAATATAAGCCGAAGTCATGACGCAACGCTCTAGAGAGGTTGTTGGGGGCGTTGGGCCCCTAATCTGTGTGGAATACATACCAAGCGTTGTTGATGTTGCCATTTGTTCCCAACTGTATTCACATTTTATCTTGATATGCCATCGCGTCCTCATTTCCCTGGCATTTGTTTGATTATATCCTTTTTCTTTTTCTTTCTACTCTTCTTATTCCCCACACGTTTTGTGCCATTTTCCACTACCTTTTCATCCATACCATTCTTACTCTCCTTATGGTGACACAGAAAAAAAAGACCTGCCACCGCAGTCACTTTTTTACTCTTCTTCATATCCCATTTTTTATATTTTCTTTCCATCCTCTCCCTATGATCATCCATCTTCTCTCAGGCATGGATCTACTACCTATTCCTCCTGACTGAACTCACCCCCTCCCCTACGCTTTGCTTAATGATTGGGTGGTAGGTATCTGCTGTGACGAGTGAACGCCGTGCTATACTCTCGTACCCCTCGTTTTGTTTTCTACCTCTTTGTCCGTCCTTTTTCAATCTCGCTATGTGTACAGATGTATATTTCTCTTTTTTTTCGAAGTAGATCGAATTGCAAGCATGCAAAGCTAGCCATTTAGCTTAGCCTAACTGGTTGGATTAAACCTGACTAGGTTGGGTTGGGCTGAATGAAAATGTGTTCAAATGTGGTTGATTCTTTTGTAGAGATGTAGGATGTAGTTTGATGGTTTGAGGTCTGGAGGTATATTGAATAGGTACGCAGGTAGGGATTATTTTTGTTTGTTGATAGGCAAATGCAGAGGACCATTGAGTAGCAAGTAATGCGTTTGACCTGGCCCTTGAATGATGTGGTTCGTGATAATGATGATGACTGATGATGTTTGGCTGAAAGGAGAGCAGAAAACGCTAAGAGACAACTATTATGTACAGTACAAAAAATGCAGCGGAGAGAGGGGCGAATAATAATAAGAATCAAGTCAGAACCATTTCATCCATCCCTCCATCGCCAATGACATAAGAAAAAACCCGGGCAACTAGATAAAAAACCGAGCTAAAATGAAGGGGATAAAGAAACAAAGGTATAGAAAAAAAATCAATCAATCAATCACTCTTTCTTCTCTTTCGAATTCGACCCGAAACCCAACAACGACAACGGGCCCCTCTCGCCGCGCTGCTCACGCTCCTGCATGCGCTGCTCCTTCGCTCGACGGCGTTCCTCCTTATACTTCTCCCAGGAGACGTTCGCATCGTAGCCCATGACCTCGCCGTTATTCTTCTCAGCCTGGGCCCGGAGGAAATGGCTGAGGGAGGTCTCCTCGTCATGAGGCGTCCTCACGGCCTGAGGCAACGGACGGACTGCATCTTCACCGGCATACGCACGAAGTCCGGTATGGAAGGCCCATTCGACGGCCTCTTCGACGGGCTTGTCGAATAGGTAGGGGAGGAAAGGCACGACGGAGAGACCGAGCTAGTAGTTATTACCTTGTCAGCGGTATAATTCTATTACGAAACCAGTACATAACAGCCGGACAAACTCACCCCGATAGGCGCCCAAGTACGGAAAAAGACATTCCGGGAGTTCTTCAACATGCGCCCAGAGTACTTGACCACCGAATGGATGGTAAAGGCCGGAAGACCCATACTGGCGATACCTTGGAACACGGCGCGCTGGGCCATAACTGTGCGGTAGTCCTCAGCCAGGGGAACGTGAGTCGTGGGCCATGGCATCAGCGTATCGCTGCTGCTACTGCCTGTTAAAGAGCCGGCGATGTTGCCGGTTACCATGCCCTTGGCGACTTGCTCGTGGGTAAGGTCGCTGGCATCTTTGTAGGCCTCGCAGGGAGGCGCTAGGACGCGGCGATTGCGGAGGTAGGCTTTGTAGCCTTCGTGGGCGACATCGCCGATTAGATAGGTCCAGGAAATGCCGTAGGCGGATCGCACTAGCCAGGGGTGGGCGACGGGGCGAAAGGATTCGCCTATGTCGGAGGTGTAGGCGACGTAGCGGTGGGCGGAGAGTAAGACGGTGCGGAGTCGGTTGGCGTATCCGGCGTAGCGGTAGGGGGTTTCGGTGGAGTCTACGGAGCTGGAGTTGAAGGTGTGTGGTTAGTAATGATTAAATTGGGGATGGTGGTGTGGGTGTGAGAGAGAGAGAGAGAAGCGGATAGCAGTTGCGTCAAGTTGCCTTTTTGGTGATTTCTTGCGGGGATCGGAAAATGCGGGGAGACAACGCGGAGATGGAGAGTGCCTTTCTCTCTTCCAGACACACCGACACTAAAAATGGGAAAGGGATGGTGTCACACGTACTATGAGGAATAAATGTCATCATAGAAACTGTCGTCGTTGTCGGCGAGTTTCTGCAAATGTGAAGGGAGCTTCTTGCGAGGAATGGGCGGTTGTTGGGCCACTTCGGGCGTGTCGTCGTGATGCTTTCCCCAGAACATGATGTGAGGATGGGACAAAATGCGATGGGTTGGAGTAATGAGCAACGCTTGGATGAGAGGTGAGAAAAATAAAAAAAATAAGGGGAAGAGAGGGAGGTATGAATTTCTAGCAGCCTGGAAAAAATGTGGAAGGGAGTTTGAAGCGAGGTATGGAGATTAGTAGTAAGTAGTAGATCAAGGGGGAAGAAGAAGAAGAAGAAGAAGCAAGAGATGGTGACTTCAAATCCAGACAGCTAGAAAGTCAACAGGAGCTCCAGCAAATCCAGGGCCGAAAGAAACCATGGACAGGCAGCATCTTATAGCACCGGCGATTCGCTGCAAGAATAACCGCCAGCAGTAACCGACCAGCAGGAGCTCTCAGCTCATAGCCGGGGCGAAATCTCCACGTCTCGTCCAGGGATGATTTCACTTCCCCCGAGGTTCGGATGGGGGGAGCTTTACTACTATAACTAAGTTTAGTGGAGAGAGCTGTGATGTGACACCGCCACATACTATGATAGTTTAGCAGGTTGGTGGGTAAATTAGCCTCTACGGTATACAGAGTACTCTGTGGTTAGATGTTGGCTGTAGCTTTTGTATTTGCATCTGCAGGTGTTGTGATACCGCAACTCTTCGTTTCTTTTCAGGGCATCTCTAATCATGCCATCATATCCCGTGATGTCTTCCCGGGACCCTCACGTGTCGGGCACTTTCGGGACATCACGTGAGATTCCAGCTAGTTCGTGTGACACATTGAATAGGCTGACACATTACTGACTCAGCAAGTCACTTGGATGTGCCTGACTCATCTTTGACTCAGCATTTACGCCAGTCCCAAATAGGCAAGGACCATAGCCGCAACTTCCATCGCTGCCGTCCAACGACTGATTCCCGCTGGACCTCGCATTGCACCGCTACATCCGCCGCTCTGACCTGACCGTTCTCCATTGAACTCTCTCCTCCAATCCGTCATCATGGTCGTCTACTACCAGATCGCCGGCAAGCAGGTCGGCTCCCACGTTGTACGTCTCCATTGCCACCCCGTTGCAACCCTCCCCTGTCCCGGGACCAATCTCTGCCGAGGTCATAACATCGGCCGATGGCACACCCTGCCAGCTGCCTGGGAACTTGTACACTGACTACTTGACTCCATATAGCTCGCCATGAGCGTTCTCGGTGCTCTCTTCGGCGGTGTTGGTCTCGCTACCCGTGGTGGTGGCCAGCCCAAGCCTGCCACCCCTCCCATCCAGGCTTCCTCCAAGGATGAGGAGACCTTCATCCAGTACGTTTCACCTCTGTGGCAGATGGACAGATCACCAATCAGGACTATGAATGATCTGGTGGGGGTGCTGGAACGCAAGCTAATGAATTTCACAGGGACTTTTTGAAACAAGTGAACGGAGACGAGAAGAAGAAAGACCATTAGAACACCGCTTTAATACGGGAATCGGTCGAGGACAAACAACCTAATTGAAGATGCTCGATGCATGATATCCATGACCGAATGGGTCTTTGGTCAGGGTGGTCTGGATTCTACCCTGCCGGGCTCGGGCAGTGTGTGTCCTTGAAATCTTGCCTGCTGGGACGGTTTGGCGGTTCCACGGGAGGTGTGAATCTGTACATATAGAGTATACACCGTGAACGTTTGTTCTCCAACTTTGCCGTGTCTGGAACTGGTAAAATCTTTACAAAGAGGTGCTATATCGATGTAGAAGTAAGCATGCGCGTAACAGCCAGCAGATCACTACAACCAAGAGTATCCAGTACTGGCTGGGAATAAACACCACTGGCCACTACAATTCGATCCTGATTTATAGATTCTTACAATATGTGCCTGTAAAACCACACCCACCAATCACTCAATACCTACCAGTCACACAACCAGCCAGTCACCTGACCATATCCAACCTTTCACAATAACAATCCCAACAACCAACCCACAACCTGACCACTCCCACCAACCAACCCACCCAACGAACACAACCACCATGAAACCAACCCCCTTCCCCTTCGCCCTCAACATCGGCACCGACATCGTCCACCTCCCGCGAATAACCCGCCTCCTCGCCCGCCCCAACTACCTCACCCGCTTCACGCACCGCATTCTTCACGCCCGCGAACAACAAGACTTTCGCACCCGCTTCTCCCTCCCTCCGTTATCCTCCTCTTCCGCAGCTCAAACGCCCACTACTCCTAGCATAAGTATATCCCCCGACATGACGCGGTGGCTCGCGGGCCGGTTCGCGGCCAAAGAGGCCGCGCGGAAAGCGGCGCCCCGTGGTGCGGCGCATATTAGCTGGAAGGATGTGGTGGTTACGGTAGCGGAGGAGGGGGGTAGGCCGGAGGTGGTATATTTAGATGGGGATGGGGATGAGGCTGGGAGGGTAGGGAAATTATCCATATCGCATGATGGGGAGTATGTGGTTGCTATGGTGGTGGCGGCGGGGTGAGGTTTATTCTTCTAGAATTGGGTATAGGGATGGGGAATCATATAATGGAATAATGGGCTGTGAGGGTTGGTAATGTTTCAGTCTGGGTTCTTCTGAGTGATGTCACGCTGAGAGGGTTGGATTGTGGCTATAGCTGCGATTGGGGTAATATTTGGATGGAGGAAGTGTGAAGATAGCCCTGCTTGGTGGGAGGGGGCAATGTGGTAGAGCTAGCTGGCTAGCTTTGTATACACACTGGAGCATACCAATCGATGTATACTAGAGTACAGTAGTAATGGATTCATAAGAATTGGTTTGAAATCTCAATAATATTGTTTGGAGACAGCGTGATCGTCATCTCGTATCTGGAGTCGGAGATGCTGGCGGAGCTGCCGGTCGAGCAGAAGAACATCCGTCCAGATTGACTCGCCGCAACAACTCCTGGTTCTTCACACGCTCCTCTTCACCACCCTCTTAGTTCAGGTTCACATTTTAGTGAGTTTGTCAGTGGCCGACCAGTTATAATCAGCCTGACCTCCACGAGCTCCAGCTTGCTTCCCCTTATATACCAGCAACAACAACAACAGCAACCCCTCCATCGCGGGGTAACCGGCCGCAGTAAGTGCTCCCATATCGCATCATATCACGACTTCAATCACAACATCCACACCCTAAGTCTACTTCACCTACTGATATCTCTCCAGATGCCCTTCACTCACCACAGCCACTCTGGGCAATTCTGCCCCGGCCATGCCAAAGACAACCTGGAAGAAATTATCCAGCTGGCCATCTCCAAGAAATTCCACACCTTCTGCCTGACTGAGCACATGCCCCGCCATGAAGAAGATTTCTACCCGGAAGAGGTATACCCTCTCTCCCAAATACACTGTCTTATCTTACCCTCTAGCTACTTAATACAACTAACCAACCCAGATCGAAGCCGGCGACACCGAATCCAGCCACGTAGCCAACGAAGCAGCCTACTTCGCCGAAGCCACGCGCCTCCGAACCAAATACGCCGATCAAATCAACATCCTCATCGGGTTCGAGATCGACTGGATCCGGCCGGGCTCGCGACAGCTAATCGAGGAGTCTCTATCGCGGCACCCGTTCGAGTTCTTCATGGGTTCCGTGCACCATACGCTGACCGTCCCTATTGACTATGACCGGCCGCTATACGAGAAGGCTCGTACGCTAGCCGGCGGGACAGACGAGTTGCTGTTTGAGGCATACTTCGATGAGCAACTGGATATGCTGAAGCAAGTGAAGCCGGTAGTAGTGGGGCATTTTGATCTGATCCGGTTGAAGAGTGATGATCCCGATCGGAGCTTCCAGCAGTATCCTCGGGTCTGGGAGAAGATTCTACGGAATTTGGACTACGTGGCGGGATACGGGGGATTGTTGGAGGTTAATTCGGCGGCGTTGAGGAAGGGTATGAAGGAGCCGTATCCGAATGGGGAGATTTGTCAGGAATTTCTGGCTCGCGGGGGCAGGTTTTGTCTGTCGGATGATAGTCATGGATTGGAGCAGGTTGGGCTGAATTTCCATCGCGTGGTGCCGTTCTTGGAACAGGTGGGTGTGTCAAAGCTGCATTATCTGGGATTGGGGGCGGGTGGTGATGATGATAATGATGATGCGCCCGTTGATGCACGGTTTCCGAAGACGCAGATCAAGGAGGTGTCGTTGGAGGAGGTGAAGAAGATGTCGTTTTGGGGGTAAGGATGGAGCAGAGCCACGAAGTCATGAATGATTTGAGGGGAGGGGAGTTGACAGGATGCATCACATGCATGGGAATGGGGTTTGCATGCATTGTCAGTTGGTTAGATTCAGTTTTTTTTTGCTTTTCCCCTTCTGAGATAACACACGGGAAGAATAAACGTGGAATGATTGATGATGTTGTGGATTATTTACTGGTAAAGTAGTGGCGATGAGCGGCCAGCCAACCAGGCAAAATACAATACTAACTAGTAGAGCAGACAATCAAATCAAGCAGTCGACAAGTAGAATAATACTAAATAATACAGGCGGCACAGGCGGCAGCCAGTACTATCTAAGTAGCACTTTCCATTTGGGACAGCACATTTTAGCTGCAGACCTACAAACGGGGGCAACGAGGCCACAGCGAGAAGGCAATTAATAAGTAGTGAAGTAAGTAACGTAACTTAACTGGAGTTTTCCGCGCCAAGCGAACCCACACAGGCGGCGCGAATCTTCCATCATCATCAGTCAATCAATCATCATCGCATGCCCTTTCTTTTCCCCCAATATATCAAACCTTATCCTTTTTTGCCCCCCTCCTCCTCCCTCCCCTCTTCTTGTAAAGATACTAGTAGTAATAATAATATTAGCAGTAGCAGTAAATGATACACCGCCCACCCAAAGTAATTCAATTTAGTAGTAAAGTTGGTCTCGCCCTGAAATAAAATCCAAAGTATAAATCAACCAACTGACCCCCCGCCCCCCACTTGGCCCGATTCTTCTTCGTTTTCCATCATTTCTGTCTGCTTCACCTTTTCTTCTTCTCTATTTCCCCCTCTTCTCTCTCTCTCCCATCTAAACCAAATTCACAATTCAAATAAAAATCTCACATCTATCACAATGGGTGTCACCAAGACTGTCATCTCCCCTGGCAACGGCCAGCAGTTCCCCAAGCCGGGTGATCAGATCTCCATGCACTACACTGGTTGTCTGTATGATGAGAACGCCCCTAACAAGATGGGCAAGCAGTACGTTTCTCCCCTTCTCTCTCTATCTCTCTCTTTCTCGCTCTCTCCAGCCTTTAAAGTAGATGTCCATGACAGTGGCTGTACTGCGCTATATGGACAATTCTAAATGGTCCAGGAAATGAAAGAGAATCTGACATCATACTAACTTGTTCAATTTACAGGTTCGACAGCTCCCGTGGTCGCGGTGCCTTCAAGACTGCCATCGGTGTTGGTGGTCTCATCAAGGGTATGTTTTCATCGCCTTTATCTATTATTTATAGATATTGTTTTTGAATGAAACTGGGACCAATTTACTAATTTATCAATTAATTAATTAATATCCAGGCTGGGATGAGGCCGTCCCCCAGATGAGCGTTGGCGAGAAGGCCATCCTGACTATTTCTCCGTGAGTTTTCCCACTTACCACACCATCATTTGTAGTATGAGTTATGTCTAATATACTATGTATAGTGACTACGGCTACGGCCCCCGTGGTTTCCCTGGCTTGATCCCCCCTAACTCGACCCTCGTTTTGTAAGTTACCTTTTTACACACTGTCATTAAAGAAGGGAATTATACTGATATCTCAAATTAGCGAGGTTGAGCTGCTCGGCATCAACTAAACCAACCCAGCTATACTATCTTCATTCAAATAATATAGCAGGGTTGCAAATCAAATAAATGGATAAAAACGGCGGCTTTTTTTTGTCGATTTTACATTACTACTACTTAAACTTACTAGATCAATACAATCGATCAGTCGAGGATTGGATTCTTAACTTTATCCATGTAGTTCTTGATATAGTAGTATCTACTCTATATACATGCCTGATAATATCATGGTTTACCGCACAATCGTATTAATATAATCAATCCCCTCCGTCCGGAACGTATCCTTCTCCACATAACTCTCATTCCTTGGTACCCGGAACACAAAGTCTTGAGGATGGGAGAGGTTGTATTTCGGCCAGGTGGGGATACCGGAGACTGTCATCATCATTTCATAGTAGTTAGAAGACCAATCCTACTACCATAAAAGGGAATATAGTATATAAAGAGAAGGTAGGGGAAAAAAAAAAAAGGGAAACATACCACCATGTCCATTCGGATCCAAATCCGACACAAAAGCCGTCCACATCCTCGCAGCCAAATTACCCAATTCTAGTCTCGATGGATCACTTCCCAACGGAGTGATGTTTTGCACGGGATTGGCGAAAACGAAGGGGATCTATACCATCCCAACACACACCATCATCATCATCATCATCATCAGCAATCATATCATATAAAAGTTTTTAAAATAGAAGGGATGGGATGGATGGGGGATCTTACCTCCGCGAAATGCGCCACCCCAATAGTACTCGAATCATTCAACGCGGCCACATCCCACCGATACGCAAACACCTGCTGCCCCTCATCATACTCCTTCATCTTCTGGGAAAGCAATCTCCTCGGAGCGACCATGCATAGATCACCCGCCATCGACTCGTAGCGTTTATATTCATATCCCAGTTTCGGCCACGTCGTGTTGCCCCAGCCGTAGGGACAGCCTAGGGCGGAGATGTTAGGGTAGTGGGAGAGGAGGGTTGTGGCTTGGGTTTCGTTTAGGACCCAGCGTTTGGATGCTTTCGCTTTCTTAGTATACCAGATATATATATATATTGGGGATATGGGGGGTGGGGTTGGACTTACACATCAACTGCTGAATAGCTTCAGCATCAGTGTTCACGCCCGTCGTACCAAAACTCACGCCCTCGTCGGTGTTTGTCCCGTGGAGAATGGGGACTTTGGCGAAGCGGCCCTCTGTGTAGCTGATTTGGGGGTATTCTTTGATGAAGGTGCCGTCGATGGTGGCGAACCATTCTAGGTCGAGGTCGGCGGCCGTGTAGATGGTGGAGAAGGGGACTTCGCGGAGGCATTGGAGGGTGTTGGATGAGGTGGTGCAGCTGGATTTTAGTTAGTATATCTAGTACTTATAGTGGGAGTTTTGGGTGTTGTCTTAGGGGGATGGGGGCATACTTGGTCGCGTTCACGATCTGGTCGTACATCGGCTGGTACCAATCTGTCCCGTTGTAGGGAGGTCCCACGGCGTTGCCGGATTCCATGATGGCTAGTAGTATGCTGGTTAGTAGTAGTAGTAGTCTAGATGAGATATATGGGGGATGGGTGAGGGGCATACCTGCTCGGAATAGACCCTCGTTGTCGCCGTCGTTGGTGACGAGGTGGGCTCCGACGCTGTAGGCGCCACTATTCATGGATGTCAGATGTGATAAAATGTCTGGGTATAGGGTAGTGTTTACGCTGATTCTCCCCATATGGTAATCTTGTCCGGGTCACCACCAAACGCCTTGATATTCTGCTTAACCCAATGCATGGCGACGCGCTGGTCACGCAGTCCTAGGTTCGTGTTGCCGGATTCCTATCAATGTCATGTCAGTTGGAACCATATACTTGAGGGTGGTGGTAGTAGTAGTAGTAGCGCACCATAACCTCGACAGAGTCAAGGAATCCAAAAGCAGCCACACGGTAATTGATCGAGACACCCAAGACGGGCTTATCGTTCAACGCACCCTGGCGGACGATATAGCTCATATTGTATCTTGCATAATATCAGCATCGGCCCACACAACAATCATGGAAATTTAAATCATACCTCGGATCAGCAGTCGCACCCTCCACCCAACCACCACCAAAGATCCAAATCATGACCGGCAACAACTCATCCTCATTGTCTCTCTTGGGTCGGATGACATTCAGATTCAAACAGTTCTCGTCGAACCGCGCATATCCCTCCTCCGCCAGCTCTGTCTCGTCGGATCCGTACCCGGGACAATCATATCCATACTCGGTGGCGTTGTACAGCACTGTCCCTGAGGAAGTCTGCAGCCCTGATGCCGAGGAGGCATGGTATACCCCGTTGTCACTGTCGTTGGCGCGATAGGCCGTTTTCAACGTCGAAGGGGTGAATCGCACAGGCTCGTCTGCGAACTTGATACCTAGGAACAACTCCTGCTCGAACTCGGGCAGGGAACGGCCGACGAAGACGGTGTTGTTGAGGGTGGCGGTAGGGATTGAGGAGGTGGTGTTGCTGCCTGTGTCTGCTCTCTTGATGGTAGGGGTATTACTGGTGTCTAGAGCAGATGCTAGGGTGCTGCTCCCTAGCAGGGAGAGCCAGAGGAGTGCGCTCGCCATGGCTGCTACTTTGCTGGCCTGTCAATTGACTCAGTCTTTGGAGGAGGAAGCCAGCCAGCTGACTACGAGACGAGTGATGATGACCTTTAATAAAGATTTAGGGGGGGGCAATGAGCAGCTGAATTAATTCTCCGAGAGAAAGAATAATACTACATAAGCTAAGAAAGTGAAACTCGCAACCATAATTGATTAACGCCGAGCAGAGCTAGTTCTTTTTCTTACATGGACGTGGGGCGTCCCATTGTATAGAGGATGGGATCGACTATCAGTGGGATTGATGTCATCTGGGATGATAATCTGACTGCTCATGGTTAGCATCTCCGAAGAAATAAAAGACAGTCAAGCTTGATTGACTCAGGGATGGATGTATTTTGCGGGGTTAATGTTGGGGTGCATGCAGCTGCCAGCAGCAGTCGTGGCTTTGCAGCATGTCGATGCAAGATTATAGGTGGAAAGTTGGTGATGAGGAGCCGAGACGCGATGGGCTGATCTAATGAGAAGCTAAGTGCTAGTTTCTCCGGCGGTAAAAAGACCCTGGTTTGTACCCCGGCTGTGGGGTATTTGTGGATGATTATGGACTCGGGCTGAAATTGAGATGGGTGTTGTTTCTCTTCTCGGATAAAGATCAAAAGTGGAGGGTTGAGTGGGGATGATCGTGATGACGCTGATCGGCTGACTTTGCAGTGCACAAGGAGGATAGATTATACACAGAATATTATTCTCGCTAATCACCACATCTCACCCTTCAGCGCCATCGGGGTATAAGGGATGACCGATGAGGATGCGAATGGAGACACGCCTTGCTCTAGTTATATCAATCACAATGCCACCGGCACTCTCTTCTAAATACAAGAAAACCAAGACTAGCACAAGATCCCTAACACCAAACAGTCAGTCGGCCACATCAATTATAGTCATAAGACGACGCATCCCCGTCGCGCCGTGCTATGCTTCAAGTGCACGTGTAGTTGGTATCGCCCAAGTTAAATACCTGCCCGACATGCAGCCACCACTGCACTCGGGCGAAAGAGCAAAAAATAAGTATTATGAAACAAACAACAAATCAAGGAGCAAGCTTCGAGCCACGGAGATGGCGCGCTCGGAGCGTATTTGCCCATCAATCATCTTTCGCCCTGTCCCCTCCAGAACGAGTCCGGCTCGTCCCAGGTGAAGGGCTGAGGAAACGTCCCCGCAACGCTGTTCCTTCGTGAAGGCTTGATCCCGACCGTAGCAAATCGGGTCTCCACCGAGGCTCGGGGATCGCATTCGACGAGCTGCGAGACTCCATCCCGTCGTTCAACTCGATGAGATCGCCGTTGCCACGTCGTCCAACGGCCTGTGCGGGGTCATGGGTTGCCGGGCCAGGCGTCTGCTGCAATTCATTCAAGCTGGCCTTGGCTCGAGTTGTCATTTTCCTGACCCACGACTCGACTGCTCCGCCAAGGTTGTCCAGGCTGGTTGGTGTGTTTGCGGCCGCCGTCGACGCACTTTCCGACGAGCTTTCGAAATTCGGTGGGCGAACCACGGGCGCAAGATTCGGCATATGCTGTGCAAAGAATTTGCTAAGTCCGTCCATGGCGGGGCCTGGTGCATTTGAATCATGGTCGAGAGTGCCAACGCCAGGTCCCGACAATTGGATGTTGCTGCGCTGGCGTTGATGGCGAATGCCCGGCTTGCCTTTGGAAGAGGTACGTGACGCAGACGAATCGGCATGCGGGCGACTCCATTTGGGAATGACTGGCTGAGTAAATCCCGAGTCGATTGGCGAAGGCGACGAGGGAGCGGTTGTGCCTCGTCCAGATAATGGAGACGACACCGAGTCCGAATACGAAACCGATTTCCGCCGCGTTCGTGGGAAGAATCCCAATGCTCTGCGGGGGACACGGCCAATTTCAACCGGCGCAGGAAAGCCCTCGATGTGTACCCACGACTCGTGCCTCCATATTCGGTCACCTTCAATCTCTGCCGCAGGAGACGCAGATGTTCCCCCCTCGACAGACGTAGACGATGGAGTGGGTGCTATTGAGCTACCGTTCATATCCTCCAAAGACTCGCCTTCCTGGCGACCATCTCCTAGAAGATCCTCTCCTATTCTAGGCCGGATGGGCCGTCCTTTGACCGAGCACGAATCTACCGGCAGAAGGACGGTTTTTCGGCCTTGAATGCTATCGCTAGGCCAGAAGCCGTTGGCCTTTCGGAATACCGCGGGCTGGCACCCATATCGTATCGTAACACCGGTGATGGTATCTGTGGACTGTACATGATGTATATAAGCTAAGGCATCCTCGTCAAGGTCAGGATCAATAGTCGAATGACCCGTCCGATCGCTGGAATCCCGCCGTTTGTGTCGCGGGGTTGTACTCCAAGCCGGGCCAGTGTCTGCTAATAAAAGGGCTTCCCTTTTCTTTGCCTGCACTAGTGCCTGTCTCTCTTCCTGGGTTCCGCTTCCAATTTCCGGCGTAGATGGGGCAGAGGGACCCCAGGTTGCTGGTGTCGACGTTCGTGCAGGGGGCCTCATATAAGGATCTGGACGGGAGGGCTTCCTCACATGCGTCCTAGTACTTCCGTTGGTGGTGGCCGGTCGTGCAATATCGCTCCCTAGTACCGACGAGGCTAGACTTTGAAGCGAGGTCCATGATGCATCAAAGAAGTCTACAGCGGCTCGCGACGACTCAGCAAACATCATTCCACTTTCCTCCTCACGGCAGAACCCACCTAAGGAGCTATTTCCCTTGCTACGGTTGGCAGCTTCAGTTGCTCGAGAGGGATGTCTCATGGGTATGGGGGACACTCCGCGGGACGGGTTAGGCGATGGTGTAGCACCGCGGGAGCGAACAGCGGAGTTATCGGGGGATAGCATCGACGACAACCCGGAGGACTGCATTTGTTTGCCATTCTCGTCGACATCATCCTCTGTGAACGAGATCAGACGGCGGTTGCGCGATCGAATGGTAGAGGTGGATCTTCGGCCGGTATTTGTCGTGCTCGCGGTCCCAAGGCTGAAGAGGTCGGCAAAGCCGCCGTTGGAACTCATCCCTGGCGACTAAAGGGGGGGCGATAAGATAGATTTAAGGAGGGGCGGGGAGTCGTCAGGTCACCGGCAGAAGCTCAGTGTTGTGTGTGAGATCGCCCAGGCACAATTTGCCATCGGAGGTCTCTACGACAGACCATTCGTCATCCGGGCGCTGTAGTTATCGCATCCGTGTCCTGAAGCTCGGAGCTAGCACGGGGATCTAGGGAGCGGCGAGATCACCAGTGCTTCGAGTAGATGAACCGGGGAAGTACTCCAGCCGCAGGATTGTCCAACTTTGAACCCAGGGGATGGATAACCACGAACTGAGGCAGGTTTGGGGGGGAGGTTGGGGTGGGTGAGGAGGATGTGTGGGAGGAGGCGCGGGATAAGGAAGAGGAAGAAGTATGGAGTTTAGCCTCCTGTGATGACGACTCAAGTCGGCAGATCAGACGTCGGCAGGGCGGGGTGGCTGTCTCATGCTCTGGTCGGAACAAGATGAAAGAAAGCAACCGGGGATTTTCGGTGCTTGCGGATAATTCAGCGGGCAACTGCAGCGATTGAAAAGAAGAATGAAGAAATTGGTGGGCAATGGGTTTTGATCGGCAAGATGCCTTCCCAGCTGAAGCGGTGCCCTGAAGTCCATCGCTGAGGGCCGTAATTTGTTTCTCTTGACGTCGGCCGGTGGCGTCCCGATACGGCCCAGAGTACACAGTATGTACAGTACCGTATGGCATTACCACCTCCACGGATCGGCAGCGTTGCCTTGAAACTTGGCTTATTTAACTGGCCACGTAGACCCAGTTCATGATCTTGCTGGTTGGTTATGAATTGGATTCTATCTACTTTATACAGTACAGGCTGGATGGTGAAATTCATAATCCTGATCTCATCAGCGGGTATATCGACTCTCTACATCCCCAATGAGGACGTAAGCCACATACAAATCACAGCCATTAAATCCCGATAGTATATCCACAATGAAAAAGAAAAACAAACAAGAATCCCAACGCCTTGTCCTTTACGCAGTACTGAGTCAAAAGGGACGTGTGACAATCTGCAAAGCCATACAATACTTATTGGAAAGAAAGCTGATAGCAACTACTCGGGAGGTTCCGCCATCTCCGCGGGTGTTCGTGCTTCAGCTTCGGACGCTGCCTCCGACTCAGTACTCCACTCCTTCTCCGAGTTGGCTTTGTTCGCCAGCTGGGCAGCTGGGGGAATAACCCGGACACCCCCGGCGCGCGAGAAGAAGTCTTCTGTACGCAGACCCCGAACCTCTGTGGGATCAACGGCCGTCATTTGTTGTCCAGTCGCCTTTTTCTGGCGGATGAGTTCGCGCACCGGCACCATGGCTGCATCCCGGCAAGCCTCCTTGATATCACTACCCGACATACCCGCCATGCCCTTGACCAAATAATCGAGGTCAAAATTATCCCGATCAACCTTGGTATCTTTCAGAACCAGGCTGAGGATTCGAAGCCGCTGTGCTGCAGGGGGTAGAGCGACAGGAAACTTCTTAGGCATCCGCCGGAGGATGGCCTCGTCAATATCGCCTATGCGATTAGTGGCACCGAGGACAACCACTCGCTGCGGCTCGCCCATCGAGTTCGCCGAAGTAAGACCGTCCCAGTGAGTCATGAACTCGGCTTTGACCATACCGCTAGCCTCGTGCTCTCCGCTTCGTCGAGTGCCCAGCACGGCATCAATCTCATCGATGAAAACGATCGAGGGCTGCAACTTCCTGGCAAGCGAGAACACGGCATTTACCAGCTTGTTGGAATCGCCGTACCACTTCTCAGTCAGAGTAGAGATGTGTAGGTTAATGAAACATGCCCCGCTCTCATGAGCGAGCGCCTTCGCAAGCATGGTCTTTCCGCATCCAGGCGGCCCGTATAGAAGGACACCAGATGGGGCAGTAAGAAGCGATGATGTCGAAGCGTAGAGATGGGGCATTGTGAGAGGGTAGATGACAGACTCCTTCAACTCTTCGATGATATCGTCCAAACCTCCTATGTCTTCGAATGATACAGGGATATCATCTGGAGCGACTACGTCCATAGCAATAGCCTGTTCATATTGGTTAAGGACAAGATCCCCTCTCTTTGGCCGGCGTCCGCCTTTTCCTCCGCGACGCGGTGAGTCCTCATCTGACTCGTCTCCTCCATCAAGCTTCCGTAGGATGGCGGCCGACTTGCGTTTTTGTTCTTCTTTCTTTTGAGACTCCGGGTCGAAGTCAAGGCGGGATAGGAGATATCGGATGAGGAAGTATGCAGACGCCGACTGATAGCGATGACAAGTTAGTCGTAAAACGAATCTGCCAGAGCATTTGGACTCACGGTGCCCGCAACCATCACCAATTCCTGCAAGAACTGCTGCCATCGGGGACCGCGCGCTGAAGCCATGACGACAGGATAGCAGAGCAAATGTCCGATCACTATGATGCTCCAAGATCTAATATATATATCCGCAACGCGATCGTCTGTTAGTAAATGCCCCGAGTCCAGCAGCGGCAGATTAACGATTAAAGCTGTAACGATGCATGCGATGGGGGTCGGACGGCCGTCGGCGACAGCGAGCGCAGGTGTGGCGCCGAGCGGTCGGAGACGTGGCTTTGCCGACGCCGTCACATGCTTCACTGCCACAGTGTTGTTGTTTGCGGTCGGGCGGCGGAGGAGCTCTCGCGCACGCGGAGCTCAGTGTGACCCTCGCCGCGTCCATTCACCCCACAAATCACGTCACGCCGTCTTTTTATATTCAATTTATCTTATCACTCTATATAGCCCATATATACTGTTCTCACAATGCCCAAACGAAAGGCCGCTACTGCGCTATCCAATTCAGCCGGCGATGAGGATCCTATCCAAGCTAATGACTCCGGAAGGGAACGCCCTACCAAGAAGCAGAGAGGAAGGCCTCGATCGAAATCTGCAGAGATAAAGCCCCTAACGCAAGCAGGGCGCGATTCCAGTACAGCACCCCCGCAAGCGTCCGAGGCACCTACGAGAAAGAGCGGCCGCAGGGGCAGACCCAAGGGCAGCAGAAACTCGGTTCAAGCAACACAAGACATATCGGAAGAGCAGGCTGAGGTCAGGGAGTCAGAACACGAAGCAGGCGATCAGGAGGCGGAAGGCACTGCTGCCTCGAATGATGAAGCAGACGAGGCACAGGAAGTTGCAAAGCCAGCAAGGACCACCAAGTCTACGAGAGCTGCCCCTCGTGGCCGGAAAAATGCCGCCACAAGGAACTCAGTTCAGACAGATGGTGGATTCGAGTACACTCCATCTACTGCCCGACAACGCAAATCGCTGGACAAACCTGAAGCCAGACCAGAACCACCGAAGAGACAAAAACGGAAACCCGAAGTGGAGGAGAACAACGACGCACAAGATAATGAAAGCACTGCTCCGGATGTCGTGGACGAGACTCTGCTTCAAGATGCGCCGGTAGAAGCCCGGTCTGTGTCACGCTCTCCCACCAAACGACAATCCCAGAGAGGCATATACAGCTCTCCTTCAAAGTCAAGGCTAGGAGGAACGGCCGAGGCCAATGTGGAGCCCGAGTTGCGTCGTCGGATTGGTGAACTGACGAAGAAATGCGATACTCTTGAGAATCGTTATCGGAATCTCAAAGAGATTGGCATTGTTGAAGCGAACTCGAACATGGAAAAACTACGAAAACAGTGCGAGTCGATGACAAACGGTGAGTGGTGCGGCATTCCTTCGTGGCATCGTATATGCTGATAGCTGCTAGCTTCGAACAACCTGATCGCATCATTGAAGGCAGAGTTAGAGGCCCAGAAGGCACTTGGTCAGCAAAGTCGGTCGCTCCAACGACAGCTGAAGGAACGGGATGCCGAAGTAGCTCAGTTGAAGTCGCAAGCTGAGGAGGCGACGAGTCAGCTCTGCTCGGCACAGACTGAGGTTAAGGCTTTGCAAACCAAGCTTGCCGCGGCTCGTAACACGGCTGCGAGCCTTGAGAATGCAGCCATCAAGATGCCTGGAAGTGCAATCAAGAGCGGTGCCAATCGTGCGAATGCTGCTGCGGTCACTGCTGAAGCCGCGCAGGCAGCTCAATTTGCCCAGCTCAAGGAAGATTTGTACACTGATCTCACAGGCCTAATAATTCGTGATGTTAAGAAGCGACCGTCTGACAATCTGTATGATTGTATCCAGACTGGTAGCAATGGAAGTAAGTTGACCATGCCTCCTGATGCCCTGATACAGGTTTCTAACAGAGTACAGCCCTTCATTTCAAGCTGGTTGTGCCCCACGTATCGTCGGCCAACTTTGAATCTGCCGAGTTTCAATATATCCCACTGCTGGATGAGAACAGAGACCGTGAGCTGGTTGATGTTCTTCCCGAGTACTTGACTGTCGACATTACATTTGTTCGCCAACAAGCATCGAAGTTCTATACCAGAGTGATCGATGCGCTGACCAAGCGGCGGAGTACTGCTGCCATCTGATCGCTTTGCGGGTCATTCCTGTGCAAACCCATTATTCTATTTATACTGTCATTGTGATTGGGCTTTCTTTGTTGAGCATTTTGATTACCTGGGTTGAGTCTTTTGGAGATATCCCTTATCGCATAGCAGACGCCGGGACACTGCGTTAGGGCGCTTCTGGAGCGATTCCATGCTTTTTCTTATGTTATACTTTTCCAATACTATCTGATTTGGCGGGAATGTGATGGTATCTATCCGGCTATAAGATCAGAAGATGATGGTTCTCAGTGGCAGAAGACATTGAGTCAACTCGCGCACAATAACTACATGTAAATCCATCTCCTTATGATTTTGTATACCACCAAATAAAGTAAGGGACTGCACCCGAGGACCCTGTGGCCCGCCGTAAATCTGTCCGTGTCCAATTGGAGGACCCCGATTGGTGGCGGGTCCCTTCCCCAAGTTCCCCAATTCAGGCACGCGGAAAAGTGCTGAGCTGCCATCATCCCATTTGCTCTATTGCACTTTATCTGCTCGTTCTCTCTTGAGCTCGATGCGAGGAAGCAATTGCATCGGCCTCATTCGCCGGTCTTAAATTCCTTTTGCTTCATTCTTCTTCTTTGTATCTATTCCTCTTTCTAATGGTTTGCATTCGTTTTGCGGTCTCCATTTCCCTCCCTTAATTTGTCTTGTCCCTGCCCGGGTCTCCTATATCGGAAATCATGGCGCGACTTGGCCGCGTAGGGTTCCTCACCCTCGCGGTGGTATTCCACCTAATTTACGCCTATTCCATCTTCGACATCTATTTCGTCAGTCCGATCGTTAGTGGCATGAGCTCGTTCCGCGTGGAACGAGAATCCGATGCTACTGCCCCCGCAAAACGTCTCGTCCTATTTGTCGCCGATGGCCTGCGCGCTGATAAGGCCTTCCAAGCATTGCCCGATCCCGATGATACCACCGGCGAAGATGCGGATCCTGTTTACTTGGCCCCCTTTATTCGCTCGCGTGTGCTTTCCCATGGCACTTTCGGGATCTCCCATACTCGAGTTCCTACGGAGTCGCGACCCGGCCACGTTGCGCTTATCGCGGGGTTATATGAGGATGTGTCGGCGGTTACCACGGGATGGAAGCTGAACCCGGTGAACTTCGACAGTGTCTTCAATCGCAGTCGGCATACGTGGAGCTGGGGCAGTCCGGATATTCTTCTGATGTTCCAGGAAGGCGCAGTCCCTGGGAGGGTGGATGCGGATACATACGGCGAAGAGGAGGAAGACTTCTCGTCTGACGCTACACGGCTTGACACCTGGGTGTTTGAGAAAGTGAAAGATCTGTTCGCTTCCGCCAAAACTGATCCTGAGCTGGATGCGAAACTGCGCGAGGACAAGGTGGTCTTCTTTCTCCATCTTCTTGGGCTTGATACTACCGGTCATTTCAGTCGCCCATACTCGAAGGAATATCTTCGTAATATTAAGTTGGTGGACAGAGGTGTGCAGGAAATAACCAAATTGGTGGAGGAATTTTACGGGGATGATGAAACCGCTTTCATTTTCACAGCTGACCATGGAATGAGCGACTGGGGCAGTCATGGAGACGGTCATCCGGACAATACTAGGACGCCACTTGTTGTATGGGGTTCTGGTGTAGCCGGACCTCGATACACTCAGGAAGGGACACTTACTGGGCACGAGGATGGCGTGTCTTCCGATTGGGGCTTTGACGGCATTCAGCGAAATGATGTCGCACAGGCTGATGTGGCGGCCCTTATGGCATACCTGACTGGGCTCGACTTTCCTACTAATTCTGTTGGTCAGCTACCGCTGCAATATCTGGACGCTAGTCCGAAGGACAAGGCACTGGCTGCGTTGGCCAACACCCAGGAGGTCTTGGAGATGTACCGTGTGAAGGAGGAACAGAAAAAGGCAGCCCTGCTTCGGTACAGGCCCTTTGAGCCACTAGCTGACCACGGCCGAACCTCTGTCGATGAAAACCTCGAGGAAATAAAGTCCAAGATAACAAGCGGCTCCTATGACGAGTCCATTGCAATGTCGTCCGCTTTACTGGCAAATGCCTTGGAGGGCTTGCGCTACTTACAGACATACGACTGGCTATTCCTCAGAACCATCGTCACGCTGGGATACCTGGGCTGGATAGCCTATGCTCTGACTACGGTTATCGACTTGCATGTCCTTCATGGGACCTCAGACTCTGACCGAACGGCGTTCAGCACTTCGTTCTTCTCGTCAATTCTTGTTGCGCTCTTCTCTGTCTTTTTTGTTCAGCACTCCTCTTGGAGGTATTATCTCTACGGTTTCTTCCCGGTGTTCTTCTGGGAAGAGGTATTCGCCCGACGAAAGGCTCTCCTTGCTGGCCGCGACATCCTTATGGGTCATGTTCACTCCGCAAGTGGCTATGTCGCGTTTGTATTTCAGTTGTTGGCTTTCGTGGGTGTATTGGAGGCTTTGGTAAGTCGCCTTACCCATGGATCTTGGAGTGTCAGCTAATAAGTGTCTACAGGTGCAATCCTACTTCCATCGCGAAATCTTTACTGTGTGCTTTATCCTGGGCGCTTTTTGGCCCCTTTGCTACGGAGCAGGATTCGTGAAGAAGCATGCACTGCTGTCCCTTTCATGGTTTGTGGGTTGTCTTCTAATGAGCACTTTCACTTTGCTACCGGCAAACAAGGTCGAAGAAATAGGCACAATGTATGTAAATCCTGAGCGTCTTGCCAAACTTGTCGACCTTGGCTGATTACATTTGCAGAACCTGGGGTGGCCTATTGATGTTCTTCACCGGCCTGTTATACCTACTTTTTGAGAGTCGTATCTTGGGGAAAAAAGAACACCCAACGCAGTCATCCATTACTCCTCCCAGCTGTGGTTCGCGCACAATCATGGGCATGCAGGTGTGCACAGCTCCCTTTACTACTTCACGGTTACTGTTGGCTAATATTGAATAGCTGGGCATGGTCATGCTTGCATTGATAGTTACTAGATCAAGTGCAATGTCTCTTCAAGCTAAAGAAGGTCTTCCATTTGGCAATCAAGTCGTCGGTTGGTTCGTTCTGGGTGAGTTATGAATATCAGGGGAGACGGCATAGCAGCACGGCTACTTCCTAGTCTCCAAGTCGTTTCGCAGGCTAACATACTCAATCAGTTACCTCATTGCTACTTCCCTTCCTCTACCGCCTGTATCCCAATAGGCACTACCTGCACCGCTTGATGGTCCTTTTCCTCACCTTCTCCCCATCGTTCATCATCCTTACCATTTCGTACGAGGGGCTCTTTTACTTCGTTTTTTGCCTGACTCTGGCCACCTGGGTACGGTTGGAGCACGCTATTCATGTCTATACTGTGACGACAAGGAACGGCGCTGCAGATACAAAGAAGCCAGGCACCGACGCAACGGCAGTTGTTGAAGGCCATACTTACCGCTACAGAACCCTCAGCGTGTCAGATGCACGGGTCGCACTCTTTTTCTTCTTCCTGCTTCAATCAGCCTTCTTCAGCACGGGCAATATCGCCTCAATCTCCTCATTCTCCTTGGAGAGCGTTGTCCGGCTCATTCCGGTCTTCAGCCCTTTCAGTCAGGGCGCCCTGCTGATTCTGAAGATTCTCATCCCCTTCGCCATCATCAGCGCTAATCTGGGCATTTTGAACCGCCGGCTGGAGGTTGCACCCAGCGCCCTGTTCATGGTGGTGATGTCGATCTCGGATATCATGACGCTGAACTTCTTCTACATGGTGCGCGACGAGGGCTCCTGGTTGGACATTGGCACGACCATCAGCCACTTCTGCATTGCCAGCTTTCTGTGCACGTTTGTAGCCGTGCTGGAGTTTCTCAGCGAGGTGATGATCAGTGGAGTGGATATTGGTCCCCGAAGCACCGCCATTGACGCAGTCAACGGATCCACGGAGACGAATGGCACTGCGATGGCCGACAAGAAAAAGCATCGCAAGGCCCAATAGAAGTGAAGACGCAGCGCAAAGCTCCACCTCGGAGTTGTAATGATTTTGTACATGTGTGATAGTATAGTCAGATACGTGCATTTGGATTTAATATACACCCTACAGCCGACGAGGCGAACGCGCCCGATAGCGCGAACCTTACCATAATCTTTGGATACCAGCTTCGTGCGTCGTTCCTGCAACGTCCTCCAAATAAAATTCGCTCCGGCCGAAATATCCCTCTCCGCATTAATGTCTAGCTGAATAATTGCTTCTTCCTGCACTGTTAGCGTATTCCCCATTGCGGCGAACACGCGCCGGGGATATCCCGATTCGGACATAAATAGATCGATCGATACGTAGATGGATAGATAGGATAAAGCATCAGCCGAGGTTTCACAAGCTAGACCAACTACCACTAACAGTCTAACAGATGACGCCTTTTCCCTCCCTCCCTCTCTCTCCCCGAGTCGCCAGGCTTACTGTCCAGATCCGCTCTGGGGAGGGGGCCAAAGCTAAGATCGCTCCGTGGACATCCACACACACCGCCGAGTTATTCATTCCCCCCCCTGCATGCTAATGGCTGGGTTGCGGGGAAAGCCCGCGCCATTCCCGCAAGGCAGACGAGGGAAAAAAAAAAAAAAAAAAAAAAAAAAAAAAAGAGAATTCAGGCACACGCAGGATCGGGAGTAAGTAGTACTACTAGGTACTAGTGTAGTAGCCTCCGGTGACGTCGGGATATGCGAGCGGGGAGGTCAACTAACTTACCTTTTGACACATATTGATTAGACCCCGAAATATTTTTTGCTTTTTCTTTGCTGTTACTTTTTGCCCAAAGGGGTATAGATTGCGAAGGATGGGGTGTTGGGGTTCCCATTGGTTTAATCTGGGGTTTTGCTCCTGCATTAAGCTGAAGATATACACGCAATCTAGGGTACTTACTTGTTCCTGTGCTTTGTGTGTTTCTTGAAGCCAAGACATTGGTTCTGTTGATTAATCCCTCATTGTGATTGTAGAGCTCGTCGCTTAGCGAGTAAGGCTCGTTTCGTTTGGGATTTGACAGGGCTGTTCTTGTGTGAATTTGGTGATAAGTTGGATGGGGATCGGTCGCCGTATTTAGCACGACGGGAATTAAACCAAGATTTGCGGCCAAATTGGCAGTCGGACCCAAAAACTGGTAGGTAAATGATTTCAGGGGAAGAAGATAGTCATTGATGTACAGATGGGCTAGAATCATCAGACACAATGGTTCTTTTTACACCTTTTTTTGCTAGTTAGTTACTCGATGGCTTTTTTGACACTCGACTAATGATTCTATCCATGATTTATTAGTTATGACTGTTCTTGTTCTGACTTTCTTTGTTTCCGTACATGCTGCATAAGCGGGCATAAGCGACATTGTACTGAAGAAAGCAGAAAGAAAACGGCCCAGACTCCACCTTAAGTGGAGTTGGAAAAAGAAACGTAAGAAAGAAGCTTAAAATCCACGGGGCAAATGCAGGAGTGGGAAGTTGTGCCGACATTTCCATCCCATCCCATCTCACCCAACTTGTGTGTTGTTGTTCTACTTTACAGTGGTCTCGTGCGATGTTAACTAACTTAAGAAATCAATGGGGAAATACATGTATCAATATGCATGTGCTGCAGAAGGGGGTCTGTCATAGCTCGCAGCTACTAGCTCATCGCAATGCCTGATATTTTCATCCCAAAGAGCCTACTAGTAATTTGAGTTTTGCGTCCTTAAGTAGTAGTAGTACTATGATGCTCTGGGGGGATCCCCATCCAGTCGTAAGTACTTAGCCCTTCCGGGTTTAAATCGCCAGATCATGGTGGCAGGATTTCCCCTGTAAAAGCAACGAGTATCATCTGTCATGGTCTCGTGATAGAGTCGGAGTTAAGCTAAGTACTGCCTAGATTTCATTCAAATTTTCATATATCCACATCTCATTCTGGCGAGTTACCATCTACCCATCAGGGGGGAATATATGTTCCCTCCCCAAGGTAGATAGATACTTGGGTTGTACCTGAACCGGGTCTACAAGACTGAAAATAGCAGCTAGACTGACTAAAAGTCGAATGACCATCCGGATGGACCCTGGCTGGATCCCCCCTAAGAGCCTTAGCCCGACCGTAATTTCTGGTCCGGCGACAGGGAACGAAGCAATACTAAGCAGCTTTCTCCACAGTCCGACTAATTTGTTCATTATTCATTATTCTTTTCTCCCCCCTCCTCCTCCCCTTTACTTAGTTAGGTCGGTCGAGGTACGTCCCAAACAACTGAACTCTTGACCAACACCGTGACTGGTTGTTCGTGGGCCCCAGCAAAACCATACTTTCAGGTCTAAGACTTTCTGACGCCACCCTGCAGGGCCAGTAGGAGAAAAGAAAAGAACGCTTGAACCGTTGCTTGCTGCTTGCTGCTGCTGCTGCTGCTACTACTGCTACTTGCTTTCTGGGGAGGTGGGATACTCCCGCCCGTTGCCATTGAGTTAGTTTCAGTTCGTTTACTAGTCTACTAGTACTACTACTTTTCTTGTCGCAACGCAACTTAGTGATTTAGTATCTCTCTCTCCATCAGGCACTGGTTCCTGGAGTCATTCATCACCTTCTCTTTTGAGCCCAGTATTCCCGGGAATTTTTCTCCCCTCTGCCCCTCCACATTGCCCTTTCTCTCTGTCTCTGTCTTTCTCCCCTGTGACCTCAGCCTTCCACCAGGCTCCATCGATCGCATCCATCGGTCGGGTGGCGCCAAATCCTCCCTCCCCTCCTCCTGCTCCCCGTCTTTCTAGCTTGGTGCTTTACCCTGTTCCGTTCCGTTCCTTCAAGTTCATCTGCCTGGCCAGTAAGCGGTTCATCAAAGAAACCCCAAACACCCAGCAAAAAGCAAAATATCCGTCACCACACTGCCTACTTTACTTCTCCATATTATCCATACTTGAACCTTGGTCCTCCTTCGATTCTCTTTTCCCCTTTCTCGTTTTTCCCTTTCTTTTCCTTTGACGTATTGTTCCGTTTTTTCTTTATTCTTTCACTTTACTCGTTTTCGAGTCTCGACCACACAAACTTAATTCCCAAAACCTCGAGTCGTTCACCCCCCTGGCCCTCGTCGCTCCAGACCATTTCTTTGTCGCAAAGCCTGTGGATGGATACCTGGTGGCCATGAGCACGACCGAAAACCAGACAGATCCATCAGCTTCCAAAACCAGCCCAGCCCCAAGTACAGCGGGCTCAACGGGCACTTCAGGTATTACTGTGCGCACGGGAGCAAACGGACATATGAGTTTCAGAAGGTGAGTGTTGACCGTTGTGGTGATTGCTTTTTTGCCCGTTTGCGCTCGCGGGGCTGTGAGTGATGAAGCCAGACTGCCTGGCGCAGAACTCCCAGGACCCGAGCGGGGGGACTACAGGACGTGAAATATAGATTCAAATTTGGTCGAGATCTTATAGAAGCTAATCTTTTTTATCTAATCGCTTTTCTCCCAATAGACAACGTGCGTCGCGTGCTTGTGAGGTACGTCTTGCTTCCTGCGAGGTCGCGTTTGTGCTGTTGAGCCTCGGCACCTCGGCTCAAATCCCAGCTTGCTTTTGCTCCTTACTCGCCGGTCGCAGGTAATTGCGCCGCGCGCAAGGACAAAAGACAATGCAACCACATCTCGATCTATAGGACTTTTGTTTGGCTAACATGTTATTCTCTTGCGCTTGTGAAGACATGCCATGCTCGAAAAGTGAGTCTATACCCCTTTTCCTCCGTGTAACCACCTGTCCCCACTCAGATGGATGGCCCCAGTCCTGCCCGTGTCTGGCCTGCACCTGTGATCGTGGACGGCCGGGCAAGCTCGCTAATCACGCCACTCCATGAGTAGGTTCGCTGCGATGCTGCCAGTCTAGGGGTGCCATGCACCAACTGCGTGGCCTTTTCGATCGAGTGCAAGATCCCTACGCCGAAACGCAAGAAGAACCAAACCAAGTCAAAGGAAACAAGCGGGTATGTCTCGGTCTTCCGTCCCATCGTCGGTGTCGAACTATATTGACCATGATGCTTCGTTTCTTGTTTACTAGAGGTGAGGAAGCCGAACCGAACTCGCCGCCGAGCAAACCCGAGCCAACACCAGTCGAAAGCGGGAAGGATGCCTTTGGCTATCAGAGGAATCGGATGGCTGTCGACGGTATGCCGGTCACTAGCCTCACCGAATCGCAGGCCGCTCAACAGGCTTCCCATAATTCGATGTATGCTCAGTTTATGAAGCCTAAATTTGCGCGCGCCCCGATAAAGGAAGCGGGGAGGGTTGCATATCTTGGAGAGTCCTCAAACCTGTCGCTGCTCGTCCAGGACCGCCATGGGACCACCGATGTCGTACACTACCCTCTACCTCCGAACATGGGCGGCACACCTGCTCGGTTGACGGATCTGGATAGCTTGGAGTTGGATATTTTGCACCAACGTGGCGCCTTCCTGCTGCCTCCAAAGCCACTGTGTGATGAGCTGGTTGAAGCCTACTTTAAATGGGTGGCCCCCGTTGTGCCCATCGTCAATCGCAGCCGCTTCATGCGACAGTATCGTGATCCAAAGAACCCCCCGTCTTTACTTCTTCTCCAAGCCATACTTCTGGCTGGTTCGAGGGTCTGCACCAATCCGCAATTGATGGACGCCAACGGCTCTACTACGCCAGCTGCCATGACGTTCTATAAGAGGGCAAAGGCACTATACGATGCTAATTACGAGGATGACCGCGTCACTATTGTCCAAGCACTGGTTCTTCTAGGCTGGTACTGGGAAGGACCTGAAGGTATGGATAGTGACTTATGTATATGTCCTTGAACTCCATCGGTATATGTGCTAACCCGCTTAGATGTTACGAAGAATGTCTTCTACTGGACCAGGGTGGCCATGGTTGTGGCTCAGGGTTCGGGTATGCATCGAAGGTATGCACAAGGCTGACTTATCCCTTACTGCACATTTATTAACGACACTACAGTGTGGAATCGTCTCAACTTTCCAAGCCGGATAAGAGGCTGTGGAAACGCATCTGGTGGACCCTGTTCACAAGGGACCGATCAGTGGCTGTCGCGCTCGGCCGGCCTATCGGTATTAATACTGACGATTCGGATGTCGGGATGTTGACGGAAAACGACTTCATTGAAGATGAGATCGACATCGCGGCGGAGTATCCGCCAGACCCGGTACACGTACAATTCTTCCTTCAATATGTTAAGCTCTGCGAAATCATGGGGTTGGTCCTCTCCCAGCAGTATTCCGTGGCCTCGAAATCAAGACGGATGAACGCTATGGATCTCACCCACTCCGACATGGCATTGGCAGATTGGCTCCAAAACTGCCCGAAGGAGGTGTGCTGGCAACGTCAACGGCATCACTTCTGGGCTGCTCTTCTCCATGCCAATTACTAGTGAGTCGTGCAATGAGGAACCTTGTTTGGTATCGAGACTAACTGGGTTCAAGCACCACACTTTGTCTTCTGCATCGAGCCCATATGCCGCCTGCGTCTTCTGTTTCAAGCAACTACCGCGTAGAAGAGATGGCCTACCCTTCGCGAACCATTGCGTTCCAGGCTGCTGGAATGATCACTTCGATTGTTGAGAACCTCCAGAATCACAGCGAGATCAGATATGCGCCTGCCTTTATGTAAGTTCCTGCATCGACCATGTGGTGACATCTACTAACTCCTGTAAAGTGTCTACAGCCTGTTCTCGGCCCTGATCATGCATGTTTATCAAATGCGATCTTCCGTCCCCTCAATTGTGGCCACCTGCCAGGAACGGATTAACATCTGTATGCAAGCTCTCAAGGATGTGTCTAAGGTCTGGCTCGTAGCCAAGATGGTGCATACGCTATTTGAGTCCATTCTCGGGAACAAGGTCCTAGAAGAGCGCCTTCAGAAAGCTGCAGGCAAGAGACATCAGCGGGTACGGCCCGAGGCTGCTCAGCAGCCGCCTGCGAAGAAGCCCGAACCCCCCAAACGCAAGTTCGACGAGATGGAATTTGGCCTACCGAATGGCGGAGGGCCCACGCCACCGGTATCTTACGAGCGATCTCGTCCCCAAACGCCTGCAGTCACGCCCTCGAGAGAGATGCAGCCTCCAGGTCTGAACCTGCCACAAGGCTCCCCTCCAGCTCCCGGGCAGCCGGGTGCCTCGCGCGGTAATACGCGCCCGACGACTCCTTTCAATCAATACTCCTTGCCTGCCACACCCCCGGATCTATTCCTTGTTACGCGTACATCACCCAATCTTTCCCCATCACTATGGGAGAACTTCCAGCCGGATCAGTTGTTCCCTGACGGCACTACGTTCTTCCCAGAATTGACGTCGCCCCAGTCGAACACGGTCGATCCGCAACTGCAGATGCAGTCTCAGTTACAAGCACAAAGCATGGACCAACGG